TATCTGAGTTTTAAGGACTATAATGTTTGGACATCAATGTAAAGTTCTAAAAGTTTTCTTTTACATCTTTAAACATTGCTTTTTAAAAATCACCTTATCAATATGGAAAATTCCAAAGATTGTGTGTATTTCATGGATATATTTCATCTTAAACTATTTTATGGGTATTGAAGAATGTATTTTTTATTGTACATTCAAATTGGAATTTTTGTCATCCTCTTCTTTCTGTTCAAAAACACTGTTTCTTCTTATGTTCAAGCTCTAATATATATTTATGTATTCATACATATGAGTTTAAAACAACTATTTTACTAATGCTTCTTAAAATGACAGTGTTTTAGAAGGGAATATGTTCATGTGAGTTTACATAAAACCCAAAGATCTTTTTTTGGTTCTTAGTGTTTAGAAGATTCTTGATAATTTAGACTATTCCACAATGGAAAGTAAAGCATTCTGTCACAAAAGCAGGGAGGATGAGACGCAGGGTCAAAGGGCATTTTGGAAACAAACAGCTGGACCAGTTTATTTAAACAGATACAGGGATGGGGGAACTGACCTCTGTTTGACTTATAGTGGGAGGAGCAAGTATGTCATTTTATTACTTTGCCCAGAAGGAAAATGTTTTCCTATCTGAATTCAACCCAAGCCATCTAAGCACATGACCTTGCTGTATATAGCTAATTCCAAAGAGAGTACATATAAGACAGTCGAGGAAAATCATAAAATACACCGAAGAGAGTCAAGTGTTGGAATGGTTTTAGAATTGAAAAGGTGGTGTTGTTTTTAAAAATAAAATATTTTGCTATTTATTCAGTTATTTTCAGATAAAGATGTCTACCATGACCCCAGATAATACTATATGTTTCATATAAATATAGGAATTATAATTCAGTAGCCTTCTGAGAGTTTACTATGTCCTGCATGTAATGATAATGTACATCATATTGAAACAAATGTTGTTTTTAATTAAAGTTTACAAAAGTGAGGACTTCCAAGTGTACCTACTAATGTGGTCAAGAAGTTTGGATAACTTGAGAAAGTGGATAAAGTGATAAGTGTCCTTAGGTTTTCAAGGTTTTAAAATTTTTAGTTAAAGAAAGGATTCCCACCTGTATACATATATATCCTTTAGGTAGCCCACATCTGTGTTGTCAATAACAACAAATGATTATTGCCACCCAAAGAGAAGCAACTAGCATTCTATACCTGGGGGCCCTTAACTAACAGGCTGGGGTGAGATGTTTGCTCTCTCCATGGGGACCTGAGCCCTGAAGTCGCTGCATTTAGTGTTGCTTGCAGAGGCATGCAGACAGACTCAGCATTTTGAGCAGAGTGGCCCAAGCGGTGAGTGGACTCAAAATCCTAGAACTCACATTCTGGAAGGAATTTGTTAGGAATCACGGATGCTTAACGTAGGGAGAAGAGGGGAGACCTGTGGGGCAGAGTGGTTATAGTTCTGATGTTTGAAAGGCTATCTGAAGAAGTGAGATTGGAATTGTCTAAATTACCCTCAAGCAGTTGTCCTGGTGAAAGAATTTTAGATCAGGTAAGACAGAACCTTCTAGCAGTTGTGTCTGTAGAGGAAGTGGGCTCCCCGTTAAGGTGACCAGGGCTGTATTAGAAATAGGCCAGCACACAGAGAACAGACTTGTGTTTACCAAGGAAAGGGCTGGGGAGTAGGGAAGCGGGGAAGGGATGAACTGGGAGTCTGGGGTTAGCGGATGCAAACTAGCATATATAGAATAGATAACCAACAAGGTCCTACTGTATAGCTCAGGGAACCTTATTCAGTAGCCTGTGATAAACCATAATGGAAAAGAATATGAAAAAGAATGGGTATATGTGCATAACTGAGTCACTTTTCTGTACAGCAGAAATTAATGCAACATTGTAAATCAACTATACCTGAATAAAATAAATTTAAAAAAAAAAACAACAGTCTAGCAGAGTCTACCCATCAACCCGGTAGGGATATCAGAGAGAGGGGATTCGTGTCAGTGACCAAGCTAAGTGATGATCGAACCTGATAGGTGACTTTTTCAATCCCATGGGTTAACTGTCATGGATTCAGACCTGAAATGGTCATGAACTGGTCTTTGGAAATCTGAAGGTATGAGTGTGAAGGAGGCAAGCTTTGAATATAGATAACCCAATTTGCTGAGTCTTCTTATGCATAGTTTTTTTTTTTTTTTTTTTTGGTCCTTATACACAAGTAATACAGTCATCAAAATCCCCCAAGTCTCCAAAATGTTGTCATTCTTATTACTGGACTCAACAGTGAGGTTGTCGCCAGTGGTCACTGGCTCAAAATCAGCTCATGTTTAGATATCTATTTAGTCCAGAATATTCTAGATGGGTGGCACAGTAGTGGCCAAGCTCTGGTCAGGACATTGTGGTGGTGAGTGGGGTATGCCTGCTACCATTTGCCAAATTATTAACATCTCTTGGGTTACATGTGACCTCAAATAAGTCACTTAATTTCTCGGAGCCTTGGCTTCTCATCTGTTAAAAAAGACTCTTCCTATTTTTAGATAAGTAATATATGTCCATAAAATATTATGTTTTTAAAAGAACTTGAAAAAAGTTATCAGAGTTCCCTTCAAGAGAATGCAGATTTTGAATAATAACATAGATAAAGAGGCATTTTTGCTCTCTTACCTATGTTAGTTACTATGAAAATTACTTTTGGTATATGCAGAATATTAATATTAAATAATTTTCTGATTGGTCATGCAGTGAAGGCAGCTAATGAAAAAGCAGATTTTTTTTTTCATTTTAATTGGTTATTTCACATGGTGTTTGTGCTACACCTGTGCTTATAATGAGAATGGAGAATTAATCTAACCTTCTGCTCACATGATTCCAATTTTCATGGTTTATACAAGATAATGATAACCTGATTTGCAACACAATTTGTTGTAGATCTGTGTTTTAAATATTTTTATTAGAACTTTGGAGACTTCATATATGAGAACCAATTTAATACATGTTGTCAAAAAGAGTTAACACCAACCAATGTCTTTTTAGTTAGATTCCAGTTTCATTTGTTATTTTAATTACTTCTAAGATAAAGAAAGAATGTAAGGATATAAGATGTTGAGAATCTTAAAATGTCATGAAGTATGCATTTTTTTATTTAAAAAACCTATGCCTGTCTGTTTGAAAGTGAAAGTTGCTCAGTTGTGTCCAACTCTTTGCAACCCCATGGACTATACAGTCCATGGAATTCTCCCAGCCAGAATACTGGAGTGGGTAGCCTTTCCCTTCTCCAGGGGATCTTCCCAACTCAGGGATTGAACCCAGGTCTCTCACATTACAGGTGGATTCTTTACCAGCTGAGTCACAAAGGAAGCCTATCTGTTTAATGGCTTGTTTTTTAGGAACTGTTTTCCTTCCTGAAGTGGGCAGACTTACCAACTAGGATTCATGCTGGAATGGAGGTCCTTTATGTATTTTTTTTTAAGTTTGTGGCAGAACTGCATACCATGTGGGCTCTCGGTTCCCCAACCAGGAATTGAACTCACATCCCCTGCACTGGAAGTATGGAGTCTTAACCACTGGACTTCAGGGAAGTCCCTAGACTATGGGTCCTTTAGTTATTAACAGAACAGTATTAAAATCTTCATTGTATTTTTTTATGTGGTACTCATGTTGGATATAAACTTTCCAGGTAGATCAGTGGTAAAGAATCCGCCTGCAATGCAGGAGACATGGATTCAATCCTTGGGTCAGGAAGACCCCCTGGAGAAGGAAATGGCAACCCACTTCAGTATTCTTGCCTGGGAAATCCCATGCAATGCAGGAGACATGGATTCAATCCTTGGGTCAGGAAGACCCCCTGGAGAAGGAAATGGCAACCCACTTCAGTATTCTTGCCTGGGAAATCCCATGGACAGAGGAGACTGGGTGGGCTACAGTTCATGAGGCCTCAAAGAGTGGGACATGACTTAGCAACTGAGTAGGCACGCATGTTTGTTTGATATACTCCAATCTGAGTTGAGAACTAAAAGTAATGTACTATTTCAGAATCTAATATGTCGGATTCATTTTATGTATTTGATGTGAAATGCTTAGTATTACAGGGTGCAAAAAGCTCTTAAGAGAGAAATTTCATGAGCATAGCTTTGGAGAGCTTGTTCTAACCACTTGTTAAAATTTTCAGTGACTAGCCACTTTTGTAGGGGCTACAAAAATTGTAAAAAGAAATCTTATTAAGACACTTAAGTGTCTTAAGATGTTTATTACACATGTTCAGGAGTAGCTGGAGAAAGCAATATTATAAGTTCAATTACTGTATAGCCATGACCTTGCCTTGACCTCAGACTTGGCATGAAGAGTGTGCGCACACACACGCGCACACACACACACACACACACACACACACACAAAGCCACCCCAAGAATTCTCTACCAGGAATGCATTTCTCTGAAGTCTCCAGCAGTGTGAGTTAGTGGTGATAAACTCCAGACATTTTTTCATGTGATGGTGTGCTGCCATCCTGGTTCATTATCTTAATAGTGGGCATTAAAATAGAATTAGGTTTGTAAGAGGTAGGGAAGGTTTTGATAAAAATTGTAAAAAAGAAGTCAGAGAACACAAGATTGAAATGTCACTAATTAGGAGAGGGAACAGATGCCCTTGTGACCATCTCTCTCGAAACACCAAATTTCCCCTCTTGCAGTTGAAAAGAATGGTGGCCAGTATTGTTTCCTGAAAACTCTGCTAATTCCCCTATGAAAAGATGAAATGGAAGTGTCCAACTGTGGTAAAACAGGCAAACATAAATCAACTCAGAAACCCTGAGCCTGTGTACTCAGAGGTCACTGGGGGTTACAGGTTTTGCAGCATGTGAAGCTGCACCGAGAGCGATGGAGAGAACCATTTTGCCCAGACCGAGCTTTGCTCTCACTGTGATCCATCTTCTCTTTCCCCTCCACCTCCCACCGCCCCCACTTTCTGTTTTTAAGGAATAATGATTTGGTCTACTTTCTTGGTTACAGGTTTATTAATGCCCGGAGAAGAATAGTGCAGCCCATGATAGACCAGTCCAACCGAGCAGGCAAGTCCCCCATAGTGACTGTATTCAAGTCACGCAAGCGAAAAGCATCCTCAAGCCATTCACCGGGAGGTCCCATACCTGGTAAATAAACTGGGAGTGAGTGCTAGGA